AATTTCTTATACATTGCTCCAGTTTTTTCTTCTTCCAATTTTATGTGTATATATCTGGTAATATGAATAGCTGGTTGTAAGACAATACCATGTATTACAACAAAAACGGTAAAATTCATATTACTTTGTTAAGTAAAATTCTGTATGAGTTGTCAAAAATAAATAAATAAATAAATTTTAAAAAATAAAAAGAAAATCCAGTGCTGGGGAGATAGCCTGGTGGTCTAAGTGTCTGCCTGGCAAGTGCAAGGGCCTGAGTTCGATCCCCAATACTGATGCCGTTCCCTGGTGTCACACACCTATAATCCCAGAGCTGGGATGCTGAGCTGGGAGGATCACTACAAGTCTGAACTGCGTAGCAAGACCCTGTGCTGAATGAATGATTAAAAGAAAATCCAGAAACATCTAATTAGCAGAGGACATTTATTTATTTATTTTTTATTAAAATTATTTATTTATGTGTGTGTGTGGCCAGCTCAGCCCACCAGGGGGCAGGGCTGGCTGGCATGTGGTGCTGGGGATTGAACCATGGTCCCTGTGATTTGCTAAGTTTGTTCTAAGTAGGTGCTTTAGACCACTGAGCCATCTCACCAGCCCCGAGCAGAGGACTTTTAGATAAGGGCTAGCAATTTGGAAGCCCTGTGCAAGTTAACCTCCAATTAAAGTGAATCCGACCCAAATAATGACAGGTATTTAAGTAACCTAGTTCAGCTGGGGCTGGAAAAGAGCAGATCAGGTTTAGAGAACACCTGTCGTAAGGTGATGCTGTGCCTTCATCCTTGGCTTCCTGCTGCCGCACGTGTGCCTGCTAGGAGCCATGGCCAGAGTTTATTACTGAACTTACTGACCTGTGTTTCCTGCCCAAGCAAGAGTCCACAGCTCTGCACAGAGAACCCAAAATGTGCCAGAGAAGTTGGATCAACCCCCCAAACTCCCCAAGACAGGAATTCTTTCCTTCCTTCCTCTGGAGTCTGAGTTCATCAAGAAGCTGAACTCAGGCCAGGGAGATGGCTCAGTAGAATAACACTTCCCTGGCAAGCACAAAGGCCTGAGTTCAATCCCCGGTTCCCCCCCAAAAAAAAAAAAAAAAAAAAAAAAAAGAAGAAGAAGAGGAGGAGGAGGAGGAGGAGCTGAACTCAGTCCTGTGGCAGTGATACTGTGGAGATGGTCCCACAGCCAATAGACAAAATGGGGCTAGACCTGACTTAGAGTCTAGATTGAGGTAATACCCTGCCTGCTGCCCAGAAATACAGCTTTTTTGTTTTTTAAGTGCTGGGGACAAAACCTACAGCCTCACCCACACTAGACAAGAGCTCTACCACTGAACTAAACTCCAGCGCCTAAAATATAGCCAGTTACAAGTCTGAGGCCAATCTGAGCTTGCATGTGCGTCTCCAGTGTGCAGCTGGTGTGAGGCTCTAAGACAGGCAATGTGGCCCAGGTCACATCCCCTCCCAAGCATCAGCCATCTGTAGAGGTCCTCAGGACAGGGCTCTGTGCCTCCAGTAGGACGGGACAGATGCCTGCGGTGCTGGGAGGGCTGCTGCTGGTGGTGGAGGACTGTGGCCAGGCTCTCTCCACAGGGATATTCTGGGGAAATAGATAAAATTATAGAGCAAAAGGAATGTCTATGCCCAGCTCAGACAAAGGCCTTCTTAGAAGACACACAGAAAGTCTTGTGGGTGAAACTGTCCACATGGCACAAGCAGAGATCCTAGGTGAGAAGCTCTGTGCTGTGTTGAGTCCCAGGCAAGCCTCTGTGAAGTGTGAGTCTTTCCTATACAGTCTGGCCTTGGGCAGGTGGGAGGTTTCACTCTGCCCCTGTGCCATGCTCCAGGGCACAGGTGTCCCCAGGCTCTGTGCAGAGTCTTAGATGATGATGTCCTCCTCAAAGGAATGGATGCAGAGGTGACAGCAGAGACTTAGCCTCAGGCCCTGTACTGTTCACTTCCGCCTGTAATAGGAGCACTGGAGTGAGACCATCACTGTGTTCTTCGATGCCCCGGGAGCCTCCCATGGGACTAAGCCACAATGACCGCCCTTTCTCTTCCAGGGAGAGGCTCCTCAGTGGTATCCAGCATCGGCTGCATCCTGCACCCTCTGTCGCCCTGGCTCTGGCATGCCGCCCCTGGGAGCTGATCACAGCCAGCAGGCAGCTCTCTGCCTTTTCCTTTTTATGCCCACCCCACTTTTTCCTTACATTGAGAGAGGCATACTTTGACAGATGAGAGAGCTGGTGAAATTTCCCCCAACCAGGGTGTCTGGGCTCCATTGCCTACCCGCTGCCCGCAGCTCTGTTACCCTTGTGAGGCCTGTGTCCTAGGGAAGCTCCACTCCCTGCCAAGGACCACCAGGAAAGAAGATGAAAACATCACTTTGGGTGGGCATAGAGTTGATAGCATGAAAGTGAAAAGTATACAAATTCAGGAAACTACTAGAAGGCATTTAAACTGCCCCAGGGGTGAGCGATCTGTTTCCCTGGAGAATATGACAGTGCTACTCTTTTTCTAATTTGTAGGTGGTGCCAGGTAAGGTCACCCAGAACATCAGGTGGTGGGGCACCTACCAGTCCTCCAGGGCTCTTTGTGCCAACCTTTGCCCTGCTGGAGTTGGAAGAGTCCTGCCTTGTCATTGCACCCATCAGAAGCTGGCATGGTCATGGAAACCCAGATAGGGAGCCAGTGTCAGGCCTCCATAGCTGCCTGCAAGTCCCCATCTGTCAGAGCCTAAACCAGACCTGTTCATTCATGGCCACAGGATGGGTGGCAGAACTGGCCTGTCTGGCTTAGCTGCCTCAGCAGGTATACCCCAGGGTGCTGAGTTTGAGGATCCTTGACCCCTTAGCAGCTCTCCTCAGTTCCTCTTCAAATGCTGCTTCATCTCAGTGGGCTATACTACACCCTGTATTTTCTGGCCATATTCCTGATGATCATATACAAAAGTAAGTCAATAGCCTGGAGTGGTGGCATATCCCTATTATTTCAGCACTCAGGAGGCTGAGGCAGGAAAGTCACCACAAGTTGTAGGCCAGCTTGGACTACATAGTTCAAGGCCAGCCTGGACTACATAGCAAGACCCTGTCTCAAAAGAAAAACAAGGGCTGGGGAGATAGCTCAGCGGCATAAGCACCTGCCTGAGTTCAATCCCTCTTACAGAAAAAAAAAAAAAAAAAAATGTCACTGAGGGGCTGAGGCAGGAGGATCTCAACTTTGGGCTAGGTCTGGGATACTTAATGAAGCCCTGTCTTAATATAATCTTTAGAAAGGGCTGTGGATGTAGCTCTGTACAAAAGCCCTGGGTTCCACTCCCAGTATGGGTTGGAGGGGGGCCTGCCACTGCTGCTGTGAAAGCCACTGAACTCTGTCCACTGCTAGGTCAAGTTTTCAGCTATCCTAACGACTGCCTGGGCCTGGACCTGATGCTGCTGTCTCTGATGGGCATGCTGGAAGCAGTGAGGCTATACCTGGGTGAGTCAGCTGTGAAATACTGAGGGGCTGTGGTGTTAGGGCTGCCACCAGCCTTGGGGTCACTCAGGCTCTTGGGGACATTTTCCCCAGATAGTACTCCAGGTGCTTCACTGTGCCCATGACGGTATCATTAAGTATTAACCATTTCTTAGAGCAGCAACAGGTGACATGGCTCCCACCTCATGTCTGGAAGCATGTTCCATGACAGCATTGAAATCAGAAGCCAACTCCTACACCCACCTTCCCTTGGCCCATCGAGGCACGTTAGGGTACTTTGTCAAGGCCCCATCTAGCTTGGGTCCCAAGGCCACTACCACCTAGAGGCTGATTCCCTCTCCTTTAACTGCACCGGCTCACCTTCTGCAAGACTCAAGGCGAGAAGCAGACTCAGGGAAACCTGCCTCCCAAGGTTGCTGCTGCCCCTGGCCTCCACCTGCACTGGGACTGGCATTGCAAGGTCATTGGCTCTGTGTGAGAGAGGAGTGGGTCCCTCCACTGCCACCCTCTGAGGCCACCCTTTCCCATGCTGGTGAGGAGGCCAGGCTGGAGGCAAGCTAGTCCCGCCCTTCTCGTTTTTTCACCCTGGAACCCCGTGGGGTGTGGCTGGGCTCCTGCTGCTCTTGTTGTGCTGAATCTTGACAGTCCCCAATGCTGGACTCTACAAACCCTCCAGACACCCAGGCAACTGGGTTCAGCTTCTGGCAGCTCCAAATTGGCATTTTCCATAATTGACCCACTTGTTTGTGAAATGTGCCGTTTTGGTTTTTATAGACATTTGTGAAATTTTCCAGGTCTGTCTGGGCCCAGAGTAAAATATTTTTTGAATTTTTAAACAGAATCCTTGGGGCTTTTGTGGAGCTAGGAAAGGTAGCAGATGCCCATGTTTTAGACACTAGCTGGCCAGGGGCCAGGTCCACGGCTGGCCATAGGTGCTAGGCCACTTGCAGCCCCTGCCTCACTCTCCCCCTTTTTCTGCCCCCTCAGGTGCGAAGGGCAACCTGATGGAGGCCGAAATGCCCCTGGCTGCTAGCCTGGCCCTCACGGCTGGTGGAGGGCTGCTTTCCATCCACTTCCTGCTCTGGCAGACCCTGGTGCTGTGGGCAGACTGGGTTCTCAGCGCCACACTCCTGGTGCTGCACAGCCTGGAAGCCGCCCTGCAGGTGGTGGCGATTGCATCCTTCATCAGATAGTCCCACCCTGCAGGGACCCTCCTCTGCCCTCCATGGTCAGGCTGGTGTGCCATGGGTGGTTCATCTCTGCAGGCAGAAGGAGTGGGCAGAGCATGCTGAGGGGTGCCCCAGAGGAGCCCACTCAGACCCTGTAGTGCTCCTAGCCTCAGCAGCTGGCCACCAGGACACCGTGAGGACAGAGCCCTTTAGGCATGCCACTGCCCTGCAGTGGCTCAGTGGCTCTGCCCTGTTACTGGTCCTGAGGAACAGGCCCCCATGTTTCCACATTGTCCGAGGAGAGCTGGCAACCCCTGTGTTCCCGTATGTATTCTCACACAGTGGTTCTGGCAGCCTGTGCTCCCCAGGCAGTCCGCATCCTGGTCCTGACACCTTTTTGGCTCTGCTACTAAGCCTGGGCTCCCCACGCAGCACTCTCCAGGACTTCTGTGTGCTGGGAACCCAGGTCCAGCGCAGGTGGAAAGTGGCTTCTGCCTGAAGTTTGAGCCACACTGGACTACAGCAGCCACTGTGTTTGCCACTGAAAAAACTCTCACTTCTGTCTTCTTTCTGAGACTTAACATAAGCACTACTCCAGTGTGGTGCACATCTGTGATCCCAGATGCCCAGGAGGCTGAGGCAGGCAGATCACAAGTTCTGTCCCAGCTTGGGCAATGTAGCTCTTTAATGAGACCTGTCTCAGACTTTTTAAAAAAAATCTTTTTATTTAAAAAAATTCTTTTTTGGAAATGTGTTATAAGTTCAACTAAGTTCAGAAATTTTAAATCTTTAAATATTTATTATATTTATTGCCTACCCTTTTCTACTTTGAGAATTCTAATTATATGAATATAAGTTTCTTGATTTTTTTTTTTTTTTTTGGCGGAACCAGGGATTATTGAACTCACAGCCTTGCGCTTGCCAGGGAAGCGCTTATTCCACTGAGCCATCTCCCCAGCCCCAGTTTCTTGATTTTGACACAGTGAAGTATTATATGACTGATCTGTGATCTCTTCATTTTTATTTTGGACAGCTTTTATTGTTATATTCATTTATAAGTTTGTAAATAAGTTATTTACAGTGTGCAATCTATTAATCTCATGTGATGTATTCCTTTCAGAAATATTTCTCTAAAAATCACTCTTCTACATCTTATATATTTCACATTTCAATATCTGTCTACAATTTTTAATATGATATATAATTATTGATTTTCGAAGCCGGGCACGTCTTGGTTTTTTTGGTTGGTTGGTTGGTTAGTTGGTTTGTTTTGCGGAACCAAGGATTGAACTCAGGCCCGGGCCCTTGCACTTGCCAGGCAAGTGCTTATTCTACTGAGCCATCTTCCCAGCCCCTGATTTTCAATAAAGTTAATGAAAAAATAAAAAATAATTTTTTTTTATTTGTTTGATATGGGGTCTCACTACACAACTCAAACTCATTAGTGATCCTCCTGTCTCAGCCTCCCCAGTGCTGGGATTACAGGCATGGGCCACCAGGCATGCGGGCCAGCATGGTGTTTAGACTGGTGAGCTATCTTCCCAGCTCCTGTCTCAGAATTTTAAAAGGACTGAGGATATAGCTCATTGCTTCCAGGCCTCAATCCCCAGTATCGAAAGGGGAAAAAAAAGATGCTGATTTTTGAAGTAGGTTTCCTTCATTTGTTGTGTATTTTCTGTGTTTGGAATAACGTGTTCAACTGTCTACTTTTTACCATTATTTTAAATAAATGTTTATGTCTCCATGCAGCCCTCTTAATGATGGCCGCTCATTTCCTGTATTGCCTGGTACAAAAGATATCCCCCTCTTGCTGCCTTCCTCTTGCTGCCCTCCTCCCCTCCACAGAATGCTCAGCAAGGGTGCCTCAGGGCACAGACTTCCTCCCTGCCTGTCCTTACCGTCCTTCGCCAACTTGATCTGGGACCTCCAGAAGCCATGGTGATGTCAGAACCAAGACTCACTGTCCACTCCCTAAGCATCACTGAGCTTCAACAGCATGGGAAGAGCTGGCAATTTGGGGACATCTCCTGAAAGGAAGTGTAGCGTCTGCATGTGTAGGGCCTCCTGAGCATGTGCTGGCCAGGAGCCCTGCTGCCTCATGACCAGTTGGGGCCTCAGACCCAAATACCCACTCTCAAACGTGCTGGGGCCCCCAGTTCCCAGAGCTCCATGGTAGATGGCCATACAGTACCAGCACCGGTGTTCTTGTGATTGCTTGGTGAGCGTATGTCTCAGAGCTGGGGTCCCTTCCTAGACTTTCTGTTCTACTTCTGCCAAGAAGGGCCAGGCATGGTCACTCATGGAACAGGTTCTATGAGATCAGCCACTAGGACTGTGAACCAGGAAGCCAGCTGGGCAGGGGCAGGTTTGGGGCCTGGAGGACAAAGGCCATTTCCTGCAGTCTCACCACGCACTCCCCAACACCAAGTGCAGGCTGTGAGCAGGCCAGAGAGGACACTGTCTCCCCATGAAGTGCAGTGTGCCCAGGGCAGAGCCTCTCCTCTCACAGCACAAACCCTGCCTAGGCTGTCTTGGTGTTCACCCAACCACTGCCTGGCCAGAGCTGCCTTCCCCTCCATAACCTCTCCTGGTCTGAAGGAGCAGGGAGGACCATGGGAGTCTGGGTGAGGACAGAGCCAGAAACAGGACTGGGGCCCACAAATGTCCCCAACAGGGTAGGGTGTGGAGGAGGGACAGCATCCCTCCTAGTGGACTTGGGATGCCCGCAGGCCGATGACCCTGCCTGAGGCCTGGCCAACAGCCAGCCAGCAGAAGAGGTCCCTGGCAGGGTCGATCTCTGGGCTCCCTGCAGCCTCCACTGGGGGGCTCTAGAGCCACGCCCTCTTGCCCCTGCATGGGGCTCCCGGCTGCACCAGCAAGCTGCGCACGCTCGGAGGGGTGGCTCAAGGGTCCCAAGGGTCGGCAGGATCCCAAGCCCGGAGGCCCGGAGGCCTGAAGGCCCGGGGCGGGGCGGGCGGGGCGGGGCCTGGTTCTCCGCCCCCCCCACCCCCACGCTGCGCCCGCGGGCGGCCGGTGACTCGGTAACCTGTCGCTCAGGTTCCTGTCGGCGCCCTCCCCGCCCGCCTCGCTGCCGAGGTCCTGCCTGGCCGCGAAGAGCCGCGCGGTGCACGGACGCGCCGTCTAGGACGGCGAAGCAGGTGAGCGCCGTAGCCAGGCCACGCGGGCCCCAGCCTCAGTTTCCTCAGGCGTTGGGGCGCGGAGCTCTGGGCGCGGGGTGGGCTCAGATGGCGGTCAGAAGGGCTGGGGCGGCTGGGGTGGACGAGGACGGCGAGATGCGGGGCTCAAGCTGCGCTGGGAGAGGGTCGTCGGAGCGGTGCTCCCCGGGACGCTCTGGTGGCCCGGCCGGCCCGGGGTCCCAGGTGGCGCTGTGTGCTGCGATATTTTTAAGCCGTGGTGGATGAGTCACCTGCCCGCATCGCGGCCCCCACCCATCCCTGAGGCTCGCGGGGACTCCCCGCACGACCGTGGAGACTGACCTCCCCCCTCCTGCGGGAGTGGGGCCTCCTCCAGGGCCCAACCGGAGGTGGGCACACCTCCCTGCCCTGTAGGTCGGGCAGGAGGCCTTCCCCAACCTCCAGCCCGGAGGCGCTCCAGGGCCAGGAAACACCAGGCCGGATCAGGCTCTGGGTCAGAGCTGGAGTGTGGGGTTTCAGGGGAGACGAAGCTGAGCAGTAGTTGGAGGCCTGCTAAGCCTCTCCAGAGAGTGCACTGTTCAGGGCCTGGGGGTGTCCAACCTGTGGCCGTCAGATTCCTCGTCCTGGGCTGGCTGGGGCTGCCCCTTTACGCGCAATGGCCCTAGTAGTAGGAGAGACTAATGGGCCCTAATCCTATCCTCTAACCCTGCTGGGAGGCAGGTCCTGCTGGGGGCCTACCCCTCCCTGTCTGTCCTTCTGCAACCTCACTATAAGCCAGGCTGCTCCTGGACCTACTAGTTCCAGGTCCGGTTGGCTCAGCTTCCTCTCAGCCCTATTTTCCTGATCCTCTCTGCCTACCGTACCCGCCAGGGTGCACCCACTGCCTTCTCCTCCCTAAGCTTTCCAGGTTCATCCATCCCTCCTCCCCTCCCTCACTTGCATGAAAAATATACAGGGTATTCCCCAGACTATAGTTTCCAGATAAGGTTGCAGCAGGAACCAAGGGACTCCCCAACTCCAAAGCCCCACCCATCTCCCCTGAGAGTGGCTAGGAGCCCCTGTGGCTAGGATGACCCCTCCCCAAGGTCACTCTGTGTAGCCTGGAATTTGAACTTGGAGCCAGTTCCTCCTTCCTTGCTGCCCTGCTGGAGCCTCCTCCCCCTCCACTGCCCAACACCTAGGCACCCAGCAGGCTGGACCCTCCCATCAGACACGGGACTTTTGGTCTGGGACCAGAGCTGGGGAGCACCTCTCCACCCTATGGTCTCACAAGGCTTCCTCCTGTGCCCCTCCAAATCCCTGGGGTGTAGCCTTTCCTCCCCTCCCTTGCCTGGGTGTAAGGTCCCTGCCTAGACTTCCCTTCGGAGGCTGCATGTCCCAGCCTGTGCATACTGTGCCTGGAGGCCTGGGTCTGCTGGAGTTTGTTTTGCCCAGGTGTGTGTACCTGGCTCCACGTGCCAAGCCTTTGGTCTAGCCCGGCAGAAATCCCATTAAGCAAACACTCAGACTCACCCACTGAGCTCATGAGCATTCCGGACATTCTCCATGGATGGGTGGACAGAGGACTCTAGCCAGGCTGCCTCCTGCAAGTTGGGGCACTTGAAGGCTTGTGGAAGATGTGTACCCTACCAGCCCAGGGTAGTGGCCAAGGCCAGTGTTCCTACTCCTCCCAGAAGCACCTCTAACCTGGTCTGACCAGAAAGTTCTGGGTGCTCCGCCTGCCCCTCCATACCAACACCCAGCTCACCCAAATACTGAGGCAGGGAGGGATGGCTTCAATGGCAACAACATATGTGGACCCTGTGGGGAGCTGTGAAAAACCCTGGAAGGACTCAGGGCAAGGACATAGGCCAGCCCAGCCCTGGAGGTCCCTGGAGGGCACAGACCCATGTAGGCCACAGCTCTGCTCACTCCCCAGGGAATCCCTAGTGTCCAGCCCAGCTTAGAAACCTGGTCATTTTAGCAGCTAGGTCTCAGTTTCCCCAAAATGCAGCTGACAAGAGGTCAGGGCTGGAGATTTGGCCCAAGGCAGTGGCCATGCTGCGTCTGCCCTGGGAAGTCTGGGGCAGCAGGTCACCAACCATCCCTGAAAATCTCAACCCCACACCTCTTCTGTCCTTGACCTCCCTACTATCCCTCCCCTGCATACCCCAGACCAGCTTCTGAGCACTTCTCACACCAGGATGGCCTGCCACATGGCTTAGAGGGAGCCCGGGCCAGCTTGTGGTCAGAGCTGCACAGCTGCCAGAGTCTGCAGGGGCCCTGGTGGAGACCAGGGTGTGGGACTGGCAGCTGGGGCTCCTCTTCACTTTGCAGGTCCCTGTCCCCGGCAGCCTGGACCCTGGGCCCGCACTGTTTTGCCTTCTCAGCACTGGCCAGCACGAAGGACGCCATGAGCCAGCCAGGCCCCATGAGCTGCTGCCCAGGTTCCACCAAGTAAGCTCCCAGCCCTCAGCCCCGGGGGGGCCGCGCTGGCACCCCTCTCACCTGCTGCTCCCCACAGCGGCAGCCTGGGCAGGTCCGATGGTGTGGCCAGGATGAGCGCCAAGGACCTGTTTGGTGAGTGAGGTTTGAGAATGACCTGGACGCAGGGGCGGGGGAGTTCGGGGGCTGTGCCTGGGCCCCAACCCAGGGGAGCTCCAACCTGGGCAGCCCCCAGGACACAGACCTTCGGACCTAAGTCATGGGGGATTCTGAGGTGCGTCCCCAAAGCTCCCACCACTGAACACCCCTCCCCCCAGACGTAAGGGGAGAGGCCTTTACGAATAATTCAGGGAGCACCAGTATTGATTCCGCTGCCTTGCTCCTGTGCAACACGATCGATCGAGGGGTTCAGGCAGAACGCAGTTGCCAGGTGTCTGCTCCAGACGGAGGCTAGCCCCCGCAGGGTAGCCCTCCCCGCCGAGCGCCTCCAGTGCTGCCTCCCAAGTCCCGCCCCTGCTGCAGCCCCGCCCCCTGGCCGTGCTTCGCCCCAAGATCTTCCCTGGCCTGACCACGCCACTGCTAAGCCATTCCTCTAGTTCTACATCCATCACCCCACCCACCCCTACTCGTGCCCTTCAGTAGAGGGCGAGAGGCCACAGCGGAGGGGCACTTTGGCTCTCTGTGGGGAAGTTCTGGTTGGATCCCCCCAACCCCCCACCCAGGGTAGAATGGGGTGGGGCATCCTCCTATTCTCCCAGCCCACATTCTGGTCACAGGCTGCCCGCCTAGCACCACACTGAGTAGGAAGCCCCAGCTTCCCACCATCCCATCCTAGGAGCCCCTTACTGGTATTGCACAACTTGGGTTCCTTCTTCCTGCTGGCTGGGGGGCTTGCCCCCACCCCGCCCTCCTTTGGCCCCCACACCAGGGGCCTCAGGTCCTGCTGTAGGGTGAGAGACAACCTTCTCCTGTCCAGAGCAGAGGAAGAAGTACTCCAACTCCAATGTCATCATGCATGAGACCTCCCAGTACCATGTCCAGGTGAGACCCCAGCCCTCGGACCAGGGTCACCACTGGGGGACATTCTTTCAGTCCTGGGCTCGGGCACAATGGGAAGACAACCCCTCCAGTCCCACAAGTTCACAGCAGGGCTATGAGGAGCCCACCCTGGGGAGCGGATACCCAGAACTGCCCAGTGTGTGCTGGGGAAACACCCAGGGACTGGCCTGCCTGGCCGAGAAAAGCAGGTGGGAAGGGAGTTGTCCTTGTGGCCCCTAAACAGGGAACTGAGACGCTGGAACAAAGAGCCCTTTATTGAGAGCTCCCTGGCTGAGACAGACTGGTAACCCGCACCCTTTGGATCAACTGCCAGCTTGGGAGGCCTCCGGCTGGGCCCCTAGTAGCTTGCACTCAGAACTCAGGAAGTGTGCTCTTCCTCAGTCTTCCTCTAGCTGGGAGTGGCAGGGCTGCTGGTTGTGGGCCATGCCTGTGGGAAACAGGCTGAGGAATGACAAGGAGGTGGAGGACGAGGGTGAAGGGCGCTGCTGCTCTGCCAGTTGTAGCTACGGGTCCCCCTGCACCTGGCTGAGCTGCACATCGCAAGGCAGTCTCGGAGCCTCAGCCCCTCACCTGGATTGAGGGTCCATAGAGTCCTCAGGAGTTCCCAAGCCTCTCTGGAGGCCAGGATATTGGGATGACCATGGCCTCACTTCTGCCACCACTCCTGTGCCCTAGGGCAGGACAGAAGTGTGAACAGGGCAGCTTTGGTTCTTCCTTCTTTTCTCAGGAGCAGGACTTTGCTCCCCTTGTTGAGCAGCTATGGGGCCTCTCTGCCCAGATCCTGGACTTTGGTCCAAGTTGGCCTGGCTTGGTTCAGCTGTTTCAGGGGCCAGCAAGGGTGGGGGAATGGGTGGGGATTACCTGAGGGTGAAGGACCCATCCTGACAATGGGAGGGGGTGCAAGGATACCATGTTTATCTCTCTTTACTTTCTTCAAACTTTTATATGAGCCAGGCATCTGGCAAATGCCTGTAATCCCAGCTCTTGGGAGGCTGAGGCAGGAGGATAGCCTTGAGTTTGAGGCCAGCCTGGGCTACAGAGTGAGTTCCAGTGAGACGCTTTCTGAAAATAAAACAAAGAAGGGGCTAAGGATATAGTTCAGCAGAGGGACACTTGCCTGGCAAGCTCAAGCTCCTGAGTTTGATTCGTGGTACCCCAAAATACAAAACAACTCCATACAGCAAACTGATAGGGGTGAGGTCCTGGTACCCTTGTGACCAGGATGTAGAGCAGCTCTATCACCCCCTTTGTGGTCACAGCTACCTGCACCCCAGTCACTGGCAACTGCTCTTTCTTCCATCCTATAGTTCTGTCTACAAATGAGATCCTGCATATCACAGCCACCCCTGCCACCCTGCTTTGTGAATTATTTTTTAACAACTGCAGAAGAGGAGTCTTCCTCAGCACTGGGCTCTGGGGGGGTCTCAGCTGGTGCCAGGCCAGGGTCTCCGCCTAGCGTGTGGAGTTGCTCCTTAGTGGGATGGGCTGGAAACATCTCCCCACCGAGGCTTGTCACCTGGTGGGGCTGTGTCTTTAACACAGACCACGTCTCCCTCTGATGGCACCCAGTCAAGTTCACCTTTTCTTTTAGCATTGCTGTTTTCTTGATTGGTTTTTTCCTCCTGAGGAGTTGGTGTGGTCAATACCCTGAAGCCTCCTTCCTGTGTCTTTTGTTGGATGCTTTGCTCCATAGTGAAAGCTTCTGCATCTGTTGATGCATCTTAAATTCTCGCTGTGCAACGAGAAAAAAAGAAGAAGAAGAGCCAGGGAGATGGCTCAGTAGAGTAAGCGCTTCCTGGGCAAGTGCAAGGGTCTGAGTTCAATCCCTGGTTCCGCCAAAAAAAAAAATCTTTCTGTGCACGGTGTGGGGGCGGGAGCAAGGGCTTCCTTTTTCCCACCGGAAGATCCAACTACATTGACAGTCTTTTCTTCCTCTGTGAATGACTGTGATGCTTTTGGCAACAACTAACTAATTGGATGTCTCTAATTTTTTTTTTTTTTTTTTCAGTATGGGGAATCAAACTCAGGATCTTGTGCTTGCCAGGCACTGTGCCACTGAGCTATAGACCCAGCCCGATTAATTGGATATTTCTGAATCTTTTCACTGACCTGTTATTTTGTGCACATGCTTTGACTCATTGTTGCTTTCATCTTAGCTTCAAGTAAGGTCATATGAGTCCTCCAGCTTTGTTCTTTTTCTTCAAGTTTTTCTTTCCTGGAGCTTGGTGTAGCTCAGTTGTTGAGTGCTTTCCTAGCATACAGGAGGCCCTGAGTTTGAGCCATCACACGCAAAACATTGATTATTTATTTATTTATTTTTGCAGAACCAGGGATTGAACTCAGGTCCTTGCGCTTGCCAAGCAAGCTCTTATTCTATTGAGCTATCTCCCTGGCCCCCCAAAAACATTTTTTTCTTAGACATAGGACCTTGCTCTGTTGCCCAGACCGACCCCAAGCTCCTGGGCTCAAGATGTCCTTCCTTAGCACCCCAAGTGGCTGGGACTGCAGGCATGCACCAGCAGTGCCCAACTAAAATTTTTCTTGACTTAAGTTTTTTGAATCTCCATATAAATTTTAGGATCACTTTGTCCATTTCTGCTCCTTACAGAAGCTGCTAGAATTTCGATTGGCATTGAGTCAAATCTATGTATCAGTTTAAGAAACTGACATCTTAATAATATTGTGGGGGCTGGTGAGATGGCTCAGTGGTTTAAAATACCTACTTAGAACAAGCTTAGCAAAACACAGGGACCACGGTTCAATCCTCCAGCACCACATGCCAGCCAGCCCCGCCCCCTGGTGGGCTGAGCTGGCCACACACACACACAAATAAATAAATAAATAAAAAGAAAAAGCTTTAAAAAAAAAAAAAGATTTATTTAAAAAAATAATAATAATAATAATAATATTAATATTGTGTCCGTCCATCCATGAGCATGGATGTCTTTCCATTTCTTAGGTCTTCTGTTTTTTTTTTATTTTTATTTTTATTTATTTATTTATTTTTTAACATTTATTTAGTGTGTGTGTGTGTGTGTGTGTGTGTGTGTGTGTGTGTGTGTGTGTGTGTGTGTGTGTGTGTGTGTGTGGCCAGCTCAGCCCACCTGCGCGCAGGGCTGGCTGGCATGTGGTGCTGGGGATCGAACCGCGGTCCCTGTGCTTTGCCAAGCTTGTTCCAAGTAGGTGCTTTAGACCACTGAGCCATCTCTCCAGCCCCCTGTTGTTGTTGAAATAGGTCTTGCTATGTAGTTTTAGACTGGCCTTACACTCACTGCATAGCCAGGCTGACCTCAAACTCATGGTGGTCCTGCTGCCTCAGCCTCCTGAGTTCCGGGATTACAGGTATACACTGCCACACCTGGCTACTTAGATCTTCCTTAACTTCTTGACAATGTGATTCTCACTGTAGAGGTCTTACACATCTTTTCTTAAATCATCCCTTAAGTTTTTTTATTTTTATGTGCTGTTACAAATGTTATTTCTTTAAAAATTTCATCCTCAATTGTCTGATGCTGGTATATATAATTTTTAGAACTCATTAATTTTTTTTTATATTTTGGTACTGGGATTGAATGCCGGTCCTCAAGCTTGCCAGGCAAACACTGTGCTGCTGAGCTACATCCTGATCTCCCAAAATTGAATTTTTTTATGGTGATCAAGTGTCCTGAGACCTTGGCAAATTTAGTGATTTGTTCTAGTAATTTGCTTGCAACACTGACTGAAGTTTCCTTGTGTGTGTGTGTGTGTGTGTGTGTGTGTGTGTGTGTGGTACCAGGGATTGCTCTTGCCAGGCAAGCGCTTATTCTACTGAGCTATCTCCCCAGCCCTTGTTTTGTTTTTGAGACAGGATCCCATTCAGGGCTAACCTTGAATTCATTGTGCAGCCCAGGCTGGCCTCAAACTCATGGCAATTCTGTCTCAGCCTCCCAGGTGCCAGGATGTGCTACTGCCCCTGCTGGATTTTTCTTCTTTTCTTTCTTTTTCTTTTTCTTTTTCTGTCTTTCTTTTTTTTTTTTTTTTTTTTTTGGCGGAACCGGGGATTGAACTCAGATCCTTGCTTTTGCTAGTCAAGTGCTTATCCTACTGAGCCATCTTCCTGGCCCTGGATTTTTCTACCTACCCAATCACATTGTCAAAAATAAAAACCATTCTTTATTTCTTTTATGCTATTTATTTGTTTTCTTGCCTCATTTTCCTGGTTAGAATCACTAGCACAATGGTAGCTAACAGTGACAGAGTATGGTGACACACCTGTAATCCCAGAATTTAGGAGGCTGAGGCAGGAGGATCATTACGAGTTCAAGACTAGCCTTGGCTACAAAGTAAGCTCAAGACCAGCCTGAACTGCATATTGAGACCCTATCTCTCTTTTTTTATGAGCAGAATATATTTATTGAGGGAAAGAAAGCTCCTGTCCAAGCGAGGGACAGGAGGGGGGCCCGAGTGGGTTGTTCTGAGACCCTAGCTCAAAAAGACAAATAAAATAAAATAACAAAAGTAATAGAGTTGGGGCTGGAGAGATGGCTCAGTGGTCTAAAGCACCTACTTAGAACAAGCTCAGCAAAGCACAGGGACCGCAGTTCGATCCCCAGCACCACATGCCAGCCAGCCCTGCCCCCTGGTGGGTTGAGCTGGCCACATACACATACGCACACACAGAGACACACACACACACACACACACACACAATAAATAAATAAATGTAAAAAAAATAAAATAAAAACTGCCAAAAACATATAAAAAAAAAAGTAATAGAGTGAGAAAAAAAAAAAAAAAAGTGACAGAGTGGATGCCCCTGCCTTCTATCCAATCTTAGGAGAAAGCATTTAGTGTTTTGCCTTTTGTGTGTATGTACAGATTTTTTTTATCAGAGTGAGGACATCCCTTGCTTTGTTTGCTGAAAGAGTTTACCATGAAGGGTGTTTTTGTACCAGGGATTGAATTTGAGACGTCCACTTGCCAAGCAGCACTTATACCACTGAGCTAACCTTGACCAGGTGTTGGGTTTTGCCACACACATTTTCTCACTCTGTTGAGATTTATTCTACTGTGAACATACTGAGTAATACTAATTTTTAAAATGTTGAACTGACCCTGAGTTTCTGGGATGCATTTCATTTATTCCAGGTGCACCACCCTTTTTCTGTGTTGAGAAGTAGTCTAGTGTTTTGTTAAAGGCTTTTCACATCAGTGGCCATGGGAAAGAGTCGCCTGTGTCTTTCTTGTGCAATGCCTTTGACAGATTGGGGAGGGTCACAGTTGTGTTCATCTTTAACTTTTAAAAAAAAATACTTTATTTGGTACAGAGTCTCCTTACGCAGTTCAGACTTGTAGTGCTCCTCCTGTCTCAGCATCCCCAGCACTGGAAGTCAGGTGTGTGCCACCACGTCTGATTTCAGGCCAGCATGGGCGTGCAATGCCAGGGACCGAACCTGGGTTCTTGCGCTTGCCAAGCAGGCACAAGGACCACTGAGCTATCTCCCCAGCCCCAGTTGTGTTAATCTTATACAGACGAAGGGAAGCGTTCCTTCCTCTTCTGTTCCCAGAAAGTTTTTTTTTTTTTCTTGGTACATTTTAGATATACATGATGATCACATTCATCATAGAGAATCTGTACCTGTATATGACATATGTCACCTCTTTTTCTCCTCCCTTTTCCTCATTCCCCTTCCCTCCCTTTGTTCTCTCTTCCCCTGCTTATTTACAAAAGCTTTACTTCTATTTTTCATTGTCTTTCTATCATTCCCCCAGTGCCTTCCTTGTTCCCCTTCCCATTTGAACATTTTCTTCCCATCTCCCAATATCTACTATATGTTTTGTCCTTATTTGCACTTTCGGTTTCTCACACCAGAAAAGCAATGTGGTATTTACACCTGTGTATCCAATTTATTTCACTAAGAGTATGGCCTCGAGCTGCATTCATTTAAGTAGAAAGCTCTCAAGTCTATCCCTCTTCGTGGCCAAGTAGTACTCCATTGTACAAAAAAGACTGCATCTTTATCCATTCCTTGGTTGATGGACATTTGGGCTGTTTCCAAGATTTAGCTGTTATCAACTCTGCTGCTGTAAACATGGGTGTGCATGTATCACCATGGTGTGAGGTTAATTCTTCTAGGAAGGTTCCCAGAAGGAGAATAGCTGAGTCAAATGAGACCTCTAGTCCTGGATTTTTGAGGACTCTCCACTCTGATTTTTTATTTTTATTTTTTTTATTTATGTGTGTGTGTGTGTGTGCGTGCGCGCGCGCACGGCCAACCGCGGTCCCTGTGCTTTGCTAAGTTTGTTCTAAGCAGGTGCTTTAGACCACTGAGCCATCTCACCAGCCCCTCTCCACTCTGATTTGCACAGTAGCTGTACCAGTCTACACTCCCACCAACAGTGGAGGGGGTTCGTTTCTCCCCAAAACCCTGCCAGGATATTTGTTTATTTATCTTTTCGAGGCAGGGTCTCGCTATGCAGTTCAGGCTGGCCTAGAATTTACTTTGGGCTGGTCTCGAACTCACAAAGATCTTCCGGAGTGCTGGGGTAACATGTGTGCACCACTACACCCAGCCAGCAGTTGTGATTGGTTGATCCCAGAGAGCTTTTGATGTGTGGATTTTGGGTTTTTTTTTTTTCTTAAATGTTTGCTAGGATTCATTAGTGAGGCCCTCTGAGTACTGGGTTTCTCATGTGGGAGATTTTTTATTCAGTAATTTGTTCCTGTGCTTATAAGATCCATTTCTGTGTTACTCTGTCTTTCCTTTGTTTGTTTGTTTTTTTTTTTTGTTTGTTTGTTTGTTTTGTGGGATTTTTTTCTGTTTTTGTTTGTTTTGCTTTTTGTATCTGGATCTACAGGGTGTTCAGGGTCTCACTACTAGATTGGACTCAAAGTGATTCTCCTGTTTATAGCCAACCAAGTGCTGGGATTACAGGCGTGCGCCACCACGCCCAGTCTCAGTCTCACTTGCTGTCTCAGTGTGCACAGCAGGCCCAGGGATTGAACCCCTGGCCCCTGTGCCTGCTTGCAGGCACTTTAATCCACTGAGCTATTTGGCTGGCCATTTTCACTGGTTTTTGAGAATAGTGTTTTCTCTAGTATTTTCCTTAATATTGTCTCGAAAGGTTTATCAATTTTATTAATTTATCAGAATGAAGTTTGGATTTTGGGTTTCCTGTATTGACTTCCTATTTACTAGTTTGTAGACTTTTTTCCTTTTAACTCCTTCCTTCCGCTTACTTTTGGCTTTACTGCCTGTGCATGTCTGTTTATTCTCCCTCCAGTGCTGGGGACCAAGTCCCGGACCTCCTAAGTGCTAGGCATGTGCTCCACCTCTGAGCTGCTCCACAGCCCTGCTTTGGAGACAGAGTCTAGCGACTTTGCCCACGCTGGCCTCAGCCTTCCAGCAGCAGTGACTGCATCTGCACACCACTGTGCCTGGCTCAACACCCTGGACTCTTCTGGGGGAGTGGGGCTGCCAGGAATCAAGCTCAGGACCGTGGGCTTGCTAGGCAGGTGCTTGTGCCACTGAGCTATGTCCCTGGCCCACGATTATCTTAATAGAGAAATTTTAAGGGGCCAGGGAGATGGCTCGGTGGAATAAGTGCTTCTCTGGCAAGCTCAAGGGCCTGAGTTCAATCCCTGGTT